GCAGCTATCCGTGCGGCCACAGCCTTTACGACTGTTGCGGAGGATCTCCGACCGCCCTCCGAAGACCGTGCTCACTAGCCGCCCACGGCCTTGCGTAAGCCGTCTACACGTCTACACGGCTCAACGCACGCAGCAGCACGGAACACCCAGACGCCTGCGCAGCCACCAGTGTGGCCATAGCCTTTAAGACTGTTGCAGAGACTCTGCGACCGCGCTGAGAGGACCTTGTGCGAGCCACGAGTTGTACCCCTGTCCTGAGCAGCCGCAGGTCCCAGGCAGTCAGTGGACACGTGCTGCACCAGACGAGCTTGGGGACCCAGACCGTGGACGTCGGCACGCAGGCCACCATGATGCAACCCGTGGAAGGCAGGGACCCGGCCGGGGAGCGTCCGAGGCCGAATGAGGGGCCTGGGAAGAGCCAGGGCAAGAAGCAGCCGCCCCGGGAGGAGCCTTCCCGAGGTCTGAGGGCTGCAAAACGCCTATTTTCTGAGGCTTCCTCACTTCCAACGCTGCTTCCTACGCTGCCATCTTCAGCAAGGCCTCAGGCCAGTCTGAGCGCCTATTCAGACCCGACCCTTCGAAGCCACACCAGATCACGGGCTCGCGCTCTCAGCAGCCTCACAGCCACGCTGGACCAGGAGTCCCAAAGCCAGGCCGCAGGGGACAGCCCCGTGCCCCGCCGTGCTGCTGCGCCGCCGGGCAATGCAGGTCGTTGTCCAAGAGGAAGTGCCCCGCTGCCCAGTCGTGCTGCCTGCCGCCGCCGCCACCGCGCTGCGCCCCTGGGCTCCGCTGGCTCCCTCAGCAGCGATCCCCCACCACGGGGCCGGCCGCAACATCGCCCTGCCCGCCGAAGGAGCGTCACCACTTCCGGGCCTACCATCGGGAGCCGGCCATCTTCTCAGAGCCACGTGGTGACGCCAGGCCTGCACTTGCCAAGTCGTGGCACCCAAGGAAGATCAGCATTTCCTTATCCACCTGGGCCTGCCAGCCAGCATCATCCGGTAGCAATTAACGTTTTTGTTCAAAGAAGTGGGGCCGACGCAGAGCTTTCGGATGGTCCTGATCCAGAGAGCCCGAGATTGGCATCCCGGCCTGCTCGTGCTGTTCGCATGCGTGCCTCCTCACCCTCTCCTCCTGGCAGGATCTTTCCACTCCCTGGGCACTATGGTGAGAGCTTCCCTTCGTCCCCCTCTAGCACCCCTGGCCGGAGCTCCTCTTCCTCTTCCTCTACCTCTTCCCCTTCCGCTACCCCTGGATTTTTGGGCCTGAGGGCCATCTCCACTCCTAGCCCGAATAGCCTTAGGCGTGCCTTGATGCCCGAGCTTGATGTCCTGCTTGATGCTTTGAGTCCTGCCTCTCTCGAAGAGCAGGATGAGATAGGGGAATAGGGAATATCACCCCTGCCACGCACACACATGCACGTACATTCTGTGCTGTGTCCGTGGATAAGTACCCTCTAAGACCTGAGGAAGGAATAGCCCTCTTCTTGGCTGAATGGTCTCCCTATACTTGATTACCTGTGATGTCTTTGAGTGTTTTGATAATCTCTAATCAACATTATAATCAAGCAGTTATGAAGTGTCTCCTATCGGTGACTTCACCACGCAAGCCTTTACCTGCTATTAGTATTTGATTCTCCATCCCCTTCTCCCTTAATACGACCTGCCATTGCCTTTGAACTGGTATTTCTCATTTGAATTATTAAGTGGCTTCTTATGCAATAAATCTTTAATTAGTAAACAAATACGTATTGTTAATTTTTTTTATATATATAAGAGGTTGTTCCGCCTGGTTTATACAGCATTATGAATGTAATAGCCTTATCTTAGACATATATGTCCTCTCCCCACATCTTATTTTATTGGGGCCTCTTACAACTCTTATCGCAATCCATACATATGATGCCATCATCATTTCCACATGTTCTTTCTGATTTGATGAGAGCACCATAGAACTTTCTTTCTAGACGTTGAACTACCTTGCAAGAAGTTGAGCCACCTCAAAAGAAACAAATACAAGAAACTCCATTTTAGAGGAAAAAATAAAGTGTGACATTAGGGCCCAGCTAAGAAGTTGGACCATTGCCAAGAAACAACAGATGGTCGAAGAAGCCCCCGCCTGAAGTGTGGGGAAACACGGTAAGACTTGACTTGGACATTGGTGACATCAAAGAGCCAGCCCAACTGTCCATTTAAACCTGATTAGAGACACTGACGTTTCTGAGAGTTAGGAACCAAGGAGACATAAACTGCTCTCTCCAATTCTACCAGGGGTCAGTACACCCATAAAGGCAATGCTTGTTGGGACTATGATGTTAGAATATGTGTGAAGAGTGCTGTTATTATGCCCTTATGCTCATACTTGCCCTAATACTCTTGTCCTTAGTAGTTTGAGTTATTATTAGATTGTTTGTTGTGTGTTTACAGTGAATAAACTGAGCATTTGAAAATGTCTGAGCGTTAAATAATTATTGATTGTTCCGCTCATGACATCCTTGAGCCTTATGTATCAGCTCATTTCCCACCTCCCCACCCTCCCTCATGAACCCTTGATAATTTATAATTTTTTTTCATATCTTACACCGACCTCTGTCTCCCTTCACCCACGTTTCTGTTGTTTGTCCCCTTGGGAGGGGGTTATATGTTGATCATTGTGATTAGTTCCCCCCTTTATCCCCCCTGCTCTCCCCTCCTTTTGACTTGAATTTCCAGTAAGATTCTCTTAGCACTCTTATAGAAGTGGCTGTTAATTTGAGGTGATATTAGCACGATATTGTATGGCAAAAACTGAATGGTCTTCTCCCTCTCCCCACATCTTTAGAAACATATCACAGCTGAGGTGAGGTGTCCTCTGTCAAAATAGTTTTCAAGACGTACAGATAAAGGCAGTGATTTATGGCTTTTTGGTACTAGGTAGGCTCTCTACCTCATTGCTTGGGAGACCAGATTAGAAGGTTACATTACCTGACAGCAGAGGCCTGCCTTCGTCTTGGTGTACATTCTTATAGTCGCGGACTCATACAAAATTTGTCCTTTGGTGATTGAATAACTTTACTGAGCATAATATTTTCCAGTTTCATCCATGCCTGGAGGTGTTTCATCACCATTTTTAGGGCTGCATAGTATTCCATTGTTAATATGTATCATGGTTTCTTTATCCATTCTCCTACTAATTGGCATTTGGGCTGTTTTCTGCTTCTTACTATTATGAACTATGCTGCAATGAACATGGGATAGCATACATTAGTTCATGTTATGTCTCTTATTTTGGGGCTTATATGGTGCGTGGTATTTCTATTTTCAATTGTTGTTGTTAGCACCATATTGCTTTTCACAATTGATGTACATATTTACAAGCCCACCAGCAGTGTATATGCATTCCTATCTCTCGGCACCCTCTCCAATATTTATTGTTCTTAATTTTTTGAATTGGGCTACCTTGGTGGGGCTGTTTCCTCTTTAAAAAAACATTGTCTGAGCGTGCTTTCATCTCAAAAATGGACATCAGACACTTGGTTCGTTTAAGATTAGGTTTCAATACTGGGTTAATGCCACATGAATGTTCTGACATTTCTTATTCCTACCCTCCAAGGTAACCATTAAATAGAAGTACAGTTTTCTTTTTCAATGAGCATGGGCACCATAAATTTACCAATAACAATTTCTAGTAAGAGATATTTTTGAGGGGTCAGCAATGATTGACATCATTAATTAGAAAGGTAGAAAATTAGAAATATCAAATACTAAATAATCAGGAACTTTAAGGTCTCACCAATTTCTAAAGCTGGGGGAACGGAAGTTCATGTTTTAAACGCTATTAATATCTCAAGTAATATTGTTCTCATTATGTAAACTTGTAAGAATTTTAATTCATTTATATAAAACAAGGATGTGTACCAGTGTACATCCTTCAGTCCAGCCGGATTTGTAGGGTAGAATTGGGATCATGATAGTAGGAGGGAGGAAGCATTCAAGAACTAGAGGAAAATTGTATGTTTCATCATTGCTACATGGCACCCTAACTAGTTCATCTCCTCCCCGGCCCGTCTGAAAAGGGATCTTTTTTGGGGGGGTTGTCTTCTTTATTGGGGTTCCTCTGACTGGAAACTGGAGGCCCCTCTACCTCATGCACAGGCACCTGTGGCACCCCATAACCAATGAGTCCGTTTCTGCAGTCCCCTTGGAATCAACAATATGAAAAAGCAGGAGTTGGGGGAGTCTTTTCTGCGTGGGCCGGCCGCCTCTCGGTAAGGGGCGGGAGCCGGGAGAACAGCCTCAGGGCACATGAGGCATCGTTGCCTCTGAGCTGGGGGAGGCCACAGTCAGGAGAAGGGCTTTGCACTTGCCAGTTTCCTGGACTGTGTCAGCTAATGGTTATGATTGAAAGCCTACGGCAAGGCCAGGTAAGTGAGGGCTTGAGGGATCGCCCTGGGGATCTGAGAAGAAGGGGCACACCGGAATTCTGTGGGGCGTGAGGCTGTTAGCTCCCCCTTGGAACTGGAAACACGGGGAACCCAGGACAGATGAACCCCTCAGGACCAGTGGTGAGAGTGGCAATACTGGGAGGGTGGAGGGAAGGTGAGGTAGAAAGGGGGAACAGATTACACTGATCTACCGATTGCCTCCTCCCTGGGGGATGGACAGTGGAGAAGTAGGTGAAGGGCGACGTCAGACGCGGTGTAAGATATGACAAAATAATAATTTGTAAATTATCAAGGGTTCATGGGGGAGGGGGGAGCGGGGAGGGAGGGGAAAAATGAGCAGATACCAAGGGCTCAAGTAGGAAGCAAATATTTTGAGAATGATGTCGGCAACAAATGTACAAATGTGCTTGACACAATGGATGAATGTATGGATTGTGATAAGAGTTGTATGAGCCCCCAATAAAATGATTTAAAAACAAAACAAAAGGAAGTGAATTTTTATGCAATCTTTAAATAATAGTAATGTATTTATTTTTTTAGTAACAAATATCTTTATTTTTAATATCAGGATGGGTACAAACAGTAGAACATATAGCACTAATTGATCAATATGTAATAGGTCAAAGTTTATTTTCTGTCTGAATTAACATTTCAACTTTGGACTATAACAGATGGAATAAATTTGTAGGATAAACAGTATTAAATTTTTGGTTTTTAACATTTTGATCCCAGAAAAAACAAAACACTTTATAATAAAAATTTAGAAATTTAATTGGATTAGTTTTAGCTTTGGATATAGAGAGGCCAGGCAGTACGAATTTTTTAAAACTTTCATTATTTGTTCACTTTTATCTGATGATGATTATAAGTTTATAGAAATGTAAGTATATATAATTTCTCTCAGTATGTTTCATGTTGAAGAGATGAGTAAAATTCCGTGTTCCTCTGAAGAATAGAGGTGGCTGCTTTGCGTGAATTTACACCTAAACAATCACATGAAGTCCCAAGCATTTGATAGGATTTTTGTCCTTCCCAGTGATCTCTCTTCTCTGAAACATTGTGCTTTTAACATCCTAAAAGAAAAAAGAGGGGAAAAACTACCCTGAAAAATAATTAAACAGAGTGTGTTGAATTATTGAATAAAATGTAAAATGCACAAAACTCTCCATTTAAATGGCAAACTGATGTGAATTGATGTAATTCCCCATTTTTGTCACAAATACTGGACAACTAAAATCTAGGTGGAAAGGCATGATCACTCATCGGCAGTACTGTGCTAACAAATTACTTTTCAAAATACTTTTTCTCAAATTGATTTATTTGAAGTTGATTTTGGTATTGATTGAACATAATTTTGTACTCTCCAATTAATCAATCATATGCCTACTATGTATGACATTAGAAAGATGTTGATGTGTGTCCATTATGGGTCTATATGAATATTTGTGTGTGAGTGCAGGTCGTCTGTGCTAATAAGGTTACTCTTATATTCCTATTAGAATGAAATCATAGAAATAAAATTTCAATAACCCTCGGGTTTTGTCGTTGTTGCTATATGCTGTAGAGTCAGTTCCAATTCACATCAACCCTGTGTACAACAGAATGGTAACACTACCCAGCCCGGTGACATCCTCAAAATTCCTGTTATGTTTAAGGCCATTGCTGCAGCCAATGTGTCATTCAATCTCATTGAAAGTTTTCCTATTTTTCACTAATGCTCTACTGTACCAAGCATGAGGTCTTTTTCTAGGGCCTACTCTTTCCTGATAACATGTACAAAGTATGTGGACAATAACGTCAAGGAATTCTCCATTTTCAAACTTACCACTTCCTTCTCTTATTTTGTTTTTCTCCCCCGCTCCCATTATTATCCAGTCTACTTATGGTGATGTATAATTGTGACTGGGCAGTTGGTAAAAAAGTAGGAACCACATGAGCTTTAAGCGCTAGTGTGGGGTTTTTTTC